ATTCAAGAATTATTTGTAATTTAATATTACCTCAATTAAATCAAGTAAATATTTCCGTTATTTTAATAGTATAAATTTCCTATAATTTAATAGTTTTTAATTAATAATTAAAAACTATTAAAATATAAGAAAATGTGTTATTATGTTAAGTGGATTGTTATCAAATATAAATTTAGGTCAAATTTTGTAAAAGGCAGTATTATTATGTTAAGTGGATTGATATCAAATATAAATTTAGGTCAAATTTTGTAAAAGGCAGAGTTTGATTTAGTGAAGTCAAATTTAGTGAATTGCTGCAATGCCAAATCAAGCAAAAAATCATGATGAAAATTGAAAGTTTATGTGCTTGTTCTGTCTGAAAAAATGTTTAAGACAACTACTTTTCAAGCAGATCGAATATGCCAAATGTATAAGACCAAGATCAATATCAGTGATACTCGGGTACACTTTAAAACATTCAATCTTTAGCAGCAAAAGATGCCAAATCATCCAAACAAATTGCATCTCGAGTTATTTCCAATAAAGAATTATTTCCGGAAGGAACTATTCTACTAGCTAAAGCATCCAACTGGCCTCCATTTACAGTTACCCTTGGTAAATATTTATACTTAAATAATTTTAACATATATATTGAAACAAAGTCTTGACTATTAAAAAATAACACTAGATAGATTTCAAGAAGTATATATTTTGACAAGTTTCTAATTTCTTTAAAAACAAATAGTTTGAAAGTTTTACACAAACTTACTAAACAAAGTTTATTGTAACTATAAAATATGTATGTTTTGGTTTTAGGTCAAAGTAGTGCGCAGACATCATCAAGTGCTCCGAAATTGACCACTGTAGCCCCTATAGTAAATGTGCAATTAAATACGGGCCTGGTTAGAACTGTAAACAAAACATCAACCAGCAAGATAGTAGAGCAAAATTTCTACTTGAATTTTCTAAAACTAGGTCAACAATTGAGCGATTTCTTCACCTGCAGCGACTTAAAAATCACAGACAAAAAAGCAGATTCTTGTACAGTTCATGTTGTTGCTCACTGCAATGATTTATCAAGTCTTGTGAATCATGTTATTCAGTCCTGTAAAATTTCTGGTGGCTATTTTGTTAAGCTTGGAATTGATGGTGGCAAAGGTTTTCTCAAGTTTAGCCTAAGCATTGTTGATACTGCGTTAAGGTATGAAACCAGCTCACCAAACCAACAACAACAACCTCTCACTCAAAGGACTGGTAAAGACACTGGAATCAAGAGACAAATTATTGTTGGGGTTTCAGAAGATTTTCCAGAAACACACTCCAATATTGAACAAATCTGGTCACTGATTAATGCAAATGGAGTTAAACTAATTTTGGCTTGTGATATGAAAGCTGCAAATATAATTTGTGGTCTTCAAACTTATTCAAGTATGCACCCTTGCACCTGGTGTGACGTTAAATCCAATTGTCTTGCCAAATCTGGAAACTTGCGAACACTGGGCTCAATTAATTCAAGCCTTGAGTCTAGCGGGGTTGTTGCTAATGCAACGCTAAAGCTGTTTGGCAATGTCATTCGAAAGCCAATCTGCGAAAACCAAGTCTGCAGGCCTGTCAATGTTCTAATTTTGGAAATCATTCCACCGATGGAATTGCATCTCCTCTTAGGAATTGTCAATCATCCTTTCAAGATCTTTTAAACTGCTTGGATAGAAGCTGTTAAGTCGCCAGCTGCCCTCCATATTCAACTGAGCCTGTATCACAGGGGCCAGTTTGAGGGAAAGGAATGGATACATCCTTCAGCCAGATTTTGATGAAAAAATTGAAAATTTCAAAAGTGTTACCTAATGATAACTGGTGCAAGCATAACACCCAAAATTCATGCCGTCTTCTGCCACATAGTAAACCACATTTCATGCCGTCTTCTACCACATGTATTCTTTTAATACAAATACTCTATAATACTACCAAAGTAGTATTATAGAGTATTTGTATTAAAAGAATACATTGAGCTATTTATTAATAATCTTTTGGTGGAGAAAATCAAAAAAACATTTCTTAAAATGTAATTAGATATCTGATGGTAATACAATGTAAAAAAATAGGGTTTAAATAGTTTTCAATTTATTTTAAAAGTAAATGTATTTAAAGAGGTCAATACAAAATATTTTAGGAAATCTACTTTTTGTTTTGTTTTACTAACTAGTAGTCCATTTAGTAAAACAAAACCAGGTTTTGCATTTTTTTGACCAGGTTTTGCATTTTTTTTAGATTTTTTTTTTGGAGCAGTTTATACCTTAGGAAATGTTGGTATATTCAAGTGAAGCATACATGGCCGTCAATGCTGGGGAGGCTAGGGGGTCATGTCCTTCTCTACTTTTTTTTTTTTTTGCAAGGTTCTTTTGTTTTAAAAATATAGGCAATTATTTTAGATATTATGGATTTTATTTTAGAAATTGAGGGGTTGACCCCCTCCACTTTAAAGGCCATGTCGACACTATTAGCATAAGACTATTTAAATCACGCTTTAAGTTGAAAATAACTATTTTGGTCTATAAAATGAAAACTGTATATGTACCGATATTCAAAGTAATCAATAACGCTCAAATTTCAAAGTAATCAATAACGTTTTGAGGTATAAGTAGCAAAAAACTGACAAAACTCAACTAAAACTGCAATAAATTCTACACCAGTCATCCAATCAAGCTGAAATTTTGTCCAGAGTTTGGTGTGACTATTGGCTACATTTGCACCAATTTTTATCAAATTATATTGAGTGGTTCAAATTCTACAAGTGTTTTTATTGGCGCACTATGAAGTCAAAATTTGACTTAAATTAAACATACAAATTGAATTATTTTCTGCGGACAAAACTAAATAATTTCAAAATTTGCATCACAGGGTACCTTGATGTGTATGCTAACTTTCCATATAAGTGGCATTCTTGAGACAGCTAGGTAGGCATTGTAAGGATCCGTGGTAACCGTGAAGACTTGATTATAAAAAATAAGTTCTAAAAATATATAAGAAATTAAAAAAAAAAAATTCATATAATATTGTATAATTTGACAGGAATGGCAGTGTATTCATCACTTTTATGGTTATCACGAAAAGACTGTGAGCTTTCATGTTTGGCTCAAAGTCTGGTTGATAGTGACAAAAACTCTGCAGTTGTGAGTATTTTTTATTAGGTTTCACTTTTGTATACCTAGAAATTTCAACATTATGATTGATTTATTAAAATTGCTAATTATTTTTATTTTAAATTTAAAAGAAAATCTTATGTAATCCAAATAACTATTATTCTGGCATTTTACCAATTTCTTTTATCTGATTGGTTCTTTTTTATTTTTTTTACCTGTCATTTAACTTTTGATAGTACAAATTTATTTTAAAATTCTTCTTTTTTCAAAAATATGGTATGGTTGTAAATAAAAAATTTTTACTAAATGAAATAGTTAAAATAAAAATTTAAAAAGAACTTTAAAAGTATATATTTACACATTAAAATGGCAAGTTCTCAATAGTTTTTACATCAACTCATCGTAAACCAACAGTTTTGATTTAACTAAAGTTTTGCTTTAATATAAATTTACCAAATAAAATCGAGTTGGTAAATTATTTTAATTTCACACGTATAATTTGCTTATATATAATTTCTCTAAATATAATTTTCCTTTAGGCATGGTGTGCAATGGCTAACTGTTTTAGTTTACAAAAGGAACATAATACTGCAATAAAATTTCTTCATCGTGCTGTTCAAGTATGTTTATATGGAAATGTTAATAATTATGATAATTATTATGATAATCATTGTGATTATAATGGTGATGATTATCCATAAAATTATTTTTTACCTAATTTCAGCTTGAACCTGAATTTTCATATGCTTACACTCTTCTCGGACATGAATATGTTTTTATTGAAGATTTTGACAAAGGGATATCCTGCTTTCGTACTGCTCTACGCTATAATGAAAAACATTATAATGCTTGGTTTGTTGTTTAATTACTTTTTTTTAGTTTTTGTGTTGTTTTTTTAGTATTCATTTTAAAATCATATTAATGATATAGGTATGGAATAGGAATGATATACTACAAACAAGACAATTTTTCTATGGCAAAATTGCATTTTCAACTTGCTCTCAAGATAAACCCCAGAAATTCTGTACTGCTGGGGCATTTAGCAGTGGTATGTTCTTATCAAAGTTTGATTTAAATTGTTTGACCTAAAAGAAAAAATCAATTTTTTTAGGTCATATTTTTAAATTGCTTAATTTCTTCTAGACTCAACACGAACTTGGAGAAACAGATTTAGCTATGGATACAATTAATAAAGCAATAGAATATAATAGCAAAAGTGCACTTTGTAAATATCATCGAGCAAGATTCTACTTTGACTCAGAGAGACTACAGGTGTCCTTTTTTTGAAGTTAAATATAACCTGTGTTTAAAATTATGGCTGATTAAGGGTAGAAAGATGTACAAGCAGTTTTGATCATTGAAAGTAAAATTTTGATCTAGCAAAAACTTTAATTGATCAAGTTTTCATCATCATTATTACTTTATTGTTTTTATTATTGCACTTGCATGGGTTAGGCATTTCTTATGATGCCATTTTTCTGATATTCACAGTTTTGAGAGTCTTTTCTTAACTGAAGCTTTTTCAAGTCATTTGTAATGCACTCACTCTAAGTTTTATTATTCTAAGTTTTCTTATTTTAATGAAACAGTGTAAAATGAAAAAAAAAAATTTTTTGTCAAGTGATTTTCTACTAATTTATAATTGCTCTGTCCAATTTAAATTTTAATTCTGTTTTAACATTTCTAGAATCTTCTAGACATGTTAAAACTTCTTGTCATGGAACTGCTTGAGCTGAGGTGCTTTTGCCAACTCTGAAGCGTCTAATAGCAACGTGTTTACATTCAATTAAGTTCTTTTAAGAGTGATGTTACTAGTGCTTTATCGTGTTTAATACGGTCAGCGGCTGCTGGAGAGGCAATGTCTTGGTACCAAAAATTAATTATTTTTTTTGTTATATATTCTCTTTCTTAGACCTCACGTGCATTTGCATCTAGTAATTCAAATTGAGCGTTTGATCTAGATTGCCTCTTCCAGAAACAACTGAGGCCTAGCTAAAATTTGTTAGATTGCTGTTGCTAGGATTAGATTTTAAACTTAGTGATGAAATAATGCTTATATCTTTGGCCCGCTGTTCCTCAAGTGCTTATTTTTGCTTCTTGAAAAATTTTCAAAATCTCTTTTAAGATACTCTACTTGTTCACGCAAACTAGACTTTTCGTCTCTAAGCATATGAGTTTTCAGTTGTGTCGCTGACGTTTCCAATTTCTGAAATTGTGAGTTTTTTAAATTTTTAGGTTAGGAGGGCTACCACCCTTCATAACAAGGGTTTACCTCCTCGTTGTGAAATATTTTATATATTAGTTAGCTTATAAATGCAATAAAACTGAAATTGTTAATGTGTTTTTTTCCGTCTATATATATATATATATATATATATATATATATATATATATATATATATATATATATATATATATATATATATATATATATATAACATTTTCATCTGTGTAAGTTTTGTTTTTAGGAAGCTCTCGAAGAACTTATAGAGGTTAAGAAATTGGCACCGAAAGATTCACTTATTTATTACATGATTGGGAAGGTTGGTAATTTTTATTATATTACTTGAGCAAATAATATTTTTGTTTAACGTAAAAATTTGTTTTATTGCAGGTTTATCAAAAGCGTAACGAAATTGTATTAGCTCAGCAAAATTTTTCATGGGCAATGAGTTTAAATCCTCACGGACCTAACAACATGATAAAAGAGGCAATGAATCAACTGCAAAATTATTCTAGAGAAGATATTCTGACTAGCGCTGTTGTCGATTCAATGGAGGACGATAACGGAATGTCTGACATTTCTAATAGTAACTTATAAGTGCATAAGTAACGGCTATTATTTGTCATGAGTTAGATAGTTAAAAAAAAGACCTTGTCTCACCTTCTGGTGTGCGTTTCGTTTGCTAACGATATTTTTAATTGCTGTGCAAACCTTATTGCCAAAATCTAGAGTTTTGCATGATGTTTCGCGTATTTTCGATGTGTGAGTTGTGAATAGATTTTATGAAATAATATTTTTTGTTGAACTGAACATAGTTAGGCAATTTTTATAATGAGGCATTTTATAGTATTTTTGTTCATAACTATAGTGACGCCTGTTTTAAAAGAAGAAGTTATATTTCTTATATAATATTTTTAAATTGAACATAATCATGAATTCTGTTTTTCTTTCAATACATTACTTTACAAGTTATTAATAAATTCCTAGAATATGAAAAATAAAGATGTTAGTTAAATTCTCTTCAGCAATGCACTGTGATATTTAATTAAGGTCTTTTGAGAGTACCTTAATAACCACCATAAAAAAAGTTATAAATAACTAGGTTGATTAAAACGTCAGCAAAAGTTTTTACCTAATTAAATTTTTATAGTATTAGCTGATGTAAGGTGATAAATGGATGACTCGATTAAATGGATGACTCGATTAACAAAAATAATTATCGCAAAATCGAACACACTAACCTTATTTAAAAACTCTCTTGGTCACTTAATTGTACCTCAGAAACAAAGTCTTGTAAAGCACGTATACAAGAATTCTACATTTGTAAATGTTTTATCGGATAAGGAAGCAGCTTCTGGTCACTTTTGGAAAATAAACATTTTGCTGCTATGATATAATTACCTTCACTTTCTGTTAAAGGAAAAGGTCCAATGAAATCAATTTCAATTGTACTTCATAAACACTAATAGGGATAAGTTTATAAAATACTCAAAATTTATAAAATACTTAACTGAGTATTTTATATATGCTCTATAAAGTATAGTATCGGTATTTTTATTTATAGGTATTGTAAAGAAATAACCAAGTATTGATAAATACTAAAGTATAGGTATTATAAAGTATCATAAAGGAAATAATTATTATATTTTATTCTTATAGTTTTATTATAATAATTGTTTTATTATTAATAATTGTTATAGTTTTATATTATCTTTAGTTGTTATTTACAGTTTTATAATATCATTAAATTAACAATATTATAATACTGTAAGTAATAACTTTTATTAAAAATAATAAATGTTTGCTTTATTTTTTTTAATAAAATAGAATCAACATTTTTAAAAAATTCAAATTTCTAATTTACAAAAATACTTCACATCGTTTATCACCCTTTTCTAATAATACCTCTATGTGGGTTTTGCTAACGTTTTATTTTGACCAAAGTGACCACCTCCTTTGGAGGTTCTCTAAGGAGGTGGTCACTTTGCCTTTTTTGAATCATAGATTTTTTGACTTCTTAGAAATACTAACAGATCTTTGTTTTTTTTTTTTATATATTGTAATAATAAAGTAGGGCGTTCTTTACCAATTTTTTAAGCAAAAAAGATTGGTCGTGCATATTATTAAAATAAAAAAGTAAAAAATAAAAGCGGCAAAATATGCATGCGAGCGGCAATTTTGCCAAGGACATGCTGCTGCCGCAAAGTTTCCTCTGACAACGGTGCGCGGAATAAACTAATTTTACTATTTATGATTATCATCTGGATCTCCGAAATCAATTTAGTTCAAATCCGGATAGGGTAATGAAATCTAGATATTTTATATAACAAGATATAATATTATATAATAAGATAAATTTTAGGAAATATGGGATCAGAAGAAACAGTTTTAACAGAGAAAGACGAAATTATTTTGCATGCTATTTTTAATCCAAATACTCCTCTTGATTTAAGAAACAGTAACTATATTCACTCAACAACTACCTTAGATAATGAAATAGCACCTGAGTTGAAAAAAATTGAATTAGAAGCTGTTAAATTGGCTCAGGCTGAAAAGTTTGAAGAGAGTTTAAAACTTTTTAATCAACTTATTAATGAGACTCCATCATATGCTTCTGCATACAACAATCGGGCGCAGCTTTATCGAATTCTAGGTAAATATACTTTATTTGTCTGTGTGTGTGCGTGTGCTGGGTAATATATATTGAATTCTAAGTATACATATGTATATGTTTGTATAAATAAATGTGTATATATAAAATGCACACACTAAAGGTGTGTTGAGTCTTAATTACATAAAATTAAGACTATGACAGCCGATTACAATAAATAGTGTTCAGAAACCAAATATTTATCGATGCTGTTTTAAAAAAGGTTTAAGTTACCTTTATCTATTTTCCATTGAGGAAGAGAATTCCAATCGTTTGTAACCCTGATTGTAAAAAAATAATGACAAATTCTCAAATTGGTAAATTGTCTGTGTATTCTAAATTTTTACTTCTACTTTAACGTTCCAAAATTTAATGGAGAGTGGTAATCTTTAATCTTTCTTCATATGATTTCCCTTTTGAAGATTTGATTATAGTAGCCCTGTGTTGCATGAATTCAAGATTGTCAATATCCATCTTCCAAAATGAACTCCTATCTGTTGCTCCATATTCCAAATGAGGATGTATTAATGGTTGGTATAGTAATTTTAATAAAAATTCATCTAAATACTCAAAAGAGTTTTAAATCATGCCTAATTTTCTGTTTGCTTTTGATTCATTAAATTTAATTAACCAATTCAATTAACCAATTCAGACCATTTTACTAACATGGTAATGTCCTCTTGTAATAATTTATTATCATCATAACAATGATTGATTAAAATAACTTAAGTATCATCTGCATATAGTTTAGTGACTTTAATAATCCTCTACATAAGTCATTAATAATGATTACAAATAAAAGAGGTCCGAGTACTGAACCTTACGGTACTCAACTAGTAACCATCACACATATATATAAGATATCATAGTTTTACTTACTATTGGGAGAAAAGTTGAAAAAAAAATCTACCTGAATTATATGTTATCTTCCTTTTTATTAGGTTTACAAAAAAAATTAATTAAAAGTCTGATTAGATTAGCTATAATTTACCTTTTAATCACCCTTAGCCACAATATCTGCTATAAATATTCTTGACATTTTATTTAACGACTTTTCCAATTTGTTGAAGTCAATTTTATGCCACTAACTAAAAAGTTTTTATCACATCTTATGCATCATTAGGTATTAGTTTTTGGCATTACTTTTAATTCTATAATCTATTTCATCATAATATGGCGCCCAAATTAAAATTTGGACCTTTTTTTTGTTTTGTTTTTTACAAACTTTTTTTTTGTGAAAAAACGCTGATTTTCCGCTAAATTTTTCTGGGACACAGGAGAACCCCCTTCCCCCAAATTTTTTTCCTAGAATAGGCCCTAATATATATATATATATATATATATATATATATATATATATATATATATATATATATATATATATATATATAAAATATATATATATATATATATATATATATATATATATATATATATATATATATATATATATATATATATATATATATACATATATGTACATATATATATAGTGGTAAAACGTGTATGTAGTGGTAATGTGTAATGGTAAAACGCTCACTTCATAAGCAAGAGGTTCCGAGTTTGACCCCACCACGTCCCTGATAGTACCGCGCTCAACTTGTTTTTCAGCGCAGCGGCCTTGTTTGTCAGGGTTCGTGTTTCAGAGTTATAAAGTTGAGAGAGAGTTATAACCACTATTAAGAAGCCTCCTCATCTGTAGTGGCCTTCGTAGCCTTGAAGAGATGAATATATATATATATATATATATATATATATATATATATATATATATATATATATATATATATATATATATATATATGTATGTATATATATATACTCTTGCATGGTAGTTAAAAAGAGTTTCCCATAAACTGTAGTTTTAAAGAGCGCGTTAATAAACCAGACCAGAAAAAGTTTAAAAACTTAAATTTTTTTTTTTTTTTAATGATAGACTGCCTGCCCAAACCAAACCCTCAGTCGATGTAGCAGCACTCCCTTGCTAGTCAGGCTATTTGTCAGTCG